TGCCTGCAGCTCCTCTGCCTCCTCCTCGCTGCCTCCACCTTCGCTCCGTGGCTGCCACATGGCGCGGTGAGCCCGGCGCAGAAGCCGCGGAAGCACAAACATCCAGGGCCTCCCCTGCGGCATAGTGTCGGGGGCTGAGCCCCAGATCCCGAGCTCGCGCCGACACCCACCGCCCGCGGGAATCCGGGTCCTCCAGCGCCGAAGCCGCAGAGCCCCTTGTGTGTCCCGGCCATTTCCTGGAAAGTAGAACCAGTCACCCTGCGGCCTGTGTAGGCCTTGGGATGAGAGGCGGGTGGGGGAACGGAGCCGGCTCCTCACACTTATGCTTTATTCCCACCCAAACCCAGGTGGAGCGACCCCATTACGTTAGAGATGAAAGGCTGGGGTTGGCCGGCCCTGCTTCTGGGGGCCCTGCTGGGAGCTGCCTGGGCTCGGACGGCCCAGGATCTACACTGTGGAGGTAAAGACACACAGAGAAGTGGGAGGAGGAGGGGGGGGGGCAGAGCTTTGGGAGGTCCTGAGATCGAAGCCTGGATGAGAATGAATGGAAATCCCCAGGTTGATGCCTTCCCCCTCCCCCACCTCCTCTCCCCCTGCGCCAGCTTGCAGGGCTCTGGTGGATGAACTAGAGTGGGAAATTGCCCAGGTGGATCCCAAGAAGACCATCCAGATGGGCTCTTTCCGAATCAATCCGGATGGCAGCCAGTCAGTGGTGGAGGTAACTGTTACTGTTTCCCCAAATAAAGTAGCTCACTGTCAGGTTGAATGAGGACTCGACTAATTAAGGAGCTTGGTTTAATAGAAATGAAGAGAACATGGACCCAGAGAGGTACCTGAAAGATAGGCTGTCTCATTGGGAAGGGGCTGGAGACTTACACCCTGTGCACTGGCTTCCTGGTTGCAAGCCTTGACACTTTGTTTCTGCTGTAGAAGATGTTAGCAGACCGGGAACCCTGGTCAGCCCTCTCTCCACATCCTTAATCCATGTGACTCATGTTTTCAGTGGCAGTATGGTATTCACACATTCACAAAAAAGAAATAGACGTTCTCATTCTTATATTTAGGAAATTTATTTTAGTTGAAAACATAACACATATAATAAAGTTGTACCTAATGAACAATAAAGAAATGTAAATGTAATGCTTGTGAAATGATTTAATAGTTGTTATCCTCAAAACCTATACTACCTTTCTAATGTTCTATTGAGGGCAGGTTTTAGTCTCATTTTAATACAAAATCATTATCTTACATCCATAAACATTAAAGGAATTCAAAGGAAAAGAACATATAGTTGACGAGGGTTAATCGAAGAGGTCTCTTTATAATTTGGGCTTAATGGCACCTGTTTTATATCTTGGGCTTGTATATGGGTAAAATAAGACTACAGTATTTGAAAACACTTTGGAATTACAAAAATAAACCCATACTGTTTTTATATAAGGCAGGCTTTTTACAATAGGTTGGTTGAGCTAGATTTGGAAGGAAAAGTAAGGATGTAAATTAGTAATGTACAGAGGTAGAAGAGAGTGACCCAAGGCTGAGGACATTTCTAGGTGCCTTATGCTCGCTCAGAGGCCCACCTCACGGAGCTGCTAGAGGAAGTATGTGACCGGATGAAGGAGTACGGGGAACAGATGGACCCTACCACCCACCGCAACATTTACATACGTGTAGTGAACCGGAATGGAGAACCCAAAGACCTGAATCTAGAGGGCATCCGAATTGATTCAGACATCCGTGGCACCCTCAAGTTTGCGGTGAGCTATGGGAGTGGGTAGCTGGTTCTTAGAAATTAGGGGAGTTATTGGAGAGCCCAAGTGGAAAACAGGATTAATATCCTTGTTCTCGAGTCAGAAGCAAGAGCCTCTTCTTGCTGCCTTCTCTCACTCGGTTCTTCCTTGGGTTGGCAGTGTGAGACCATTGTGGAGGAATATGAGGATGAACTCATTGAATTCTTTTCCCGAGAGGCTGACAATGTGAAAGACAAACTTTGTAGCAAGCGAACAGGTAAGCTGCTCCCACGTTACCTTTTGTCCTCACAGCTCTGTGGAATCAGGCACATTCCCTAGCAGTCCGCCCTACCCCTGATAGTAGCTCAAGAGTTGCTTCCGTGACCCATGGCTTAGGGACTTGGGCTGTTCCTATTCATTCTCTTCCCGTCAGCTTTCAGAATTTGTGGCTCACTCATGAGGTGCAAGTCAGAGGATAATGGGAATGTTTTGTCATTTAAAAGCATATGCTCTGGCCCTGCCAGAGTTGTTCAGTTAGTTGAGCATCGCAGGTTGCCGGTTCGATTCCGAATCAAACCCTATTGGGGCACATCTGATCAATGTTTCTCTCTCTCTCTCTCTCCCCCCACCCCAAGTCCCCTTCTCCCTTCCTCCCTCCTTCCTTCCTCTCTCTAAGCATGTCCTCGGGTGAGGAGTAAAACAAAAAAACATGCTTTGAAAAATGGTGGTTGGTATGTGTATCAGTTTGATTTGGGGGTATTTTCTTAATAGTGGCATATATCAATATAAGAGTGGCATTTTCTTTCTAACTGTTATGTGCTGTTTGCAGATTTATGTGACCATGCCCTGCACATACCGCATGATGAGCTGTGAATCACTGGCGCGGGCCCCAACTGACAAGCTTGATGGATCACCCCCAGGAGGGGAAAAGGTGGCAATGCCATTTATATTATGTTTATAATGAAATGAACTGAAAAAAATATGAAACTAAAAGGATGAACTGTGTTGTCTTTTCATGCCCAGAATTGGTCCTTAGATTAGGTTTGAAGATAGGGGGTTCCAGACAGGAAATGAAAGGGAAGGGAAGGAAGAGCTTTGGGAATGGCATCGCAGGAAGGTAGGAGGAGCCTGAAGCTTTCGTTCTTTGCCATCTGAGATTCCTGCTGCACTCACAAACTAGATAAACATTTACTCAGTGCCTACTCAGATGTGTTTCGAGCTTAATTGTGGAGAAAAGAGGACCCTCTGTGAATGAGCAGAAGAACATAAGTAAGCGTATGGTGGTATAGGATTCTAGAAATTACATGTGTTCATACTGATGAAGCGTAAAGTAAAACAGCTTGGTCTCGAAGGAAATAATGGACATGCATTATTTTTCCTCCCTGCCCTTCCAGATGGAGGGATCAACAAGAGCATTCAGGAAGGGGAAAATGGATGTGATCAACTCAGCTGAAAAGTAAGGGCTTTTTCAGATAGGGAGAAGTTAGGTAAGGAATGTTATTTAATGAAAGGCCTTATTTGATGGCCTACGTTTTTAGATTTGGTGCCAACAGCAACACTAAAGTATACCCTTTTCATCTTCATCACTAGCTATTGTCAATCTAGACTATAAGTCTGTGCTCACTTTCTGTATGTAGAGATTCTGTACTGGGGCATAGTGATGAAAACAAGGATACCTTCTTTGAGGAGCTTTTTAAATACCCGATTCGGGGATGTGGCTGTCTTAGGTTTGAAATGGAACATTTCTGTCTCAGGAATGCCTCAGAGAGAGAACCTGAATAAACATTTCAAAGACTTCTTAAATTAAGCGTTTGAGAATCTAAAGGAACCTTGGAGGTCATCTAGTTCACCTCTACCCATTTACATATGAAGAAAATAAGGCCCGGAGAAACCACAGGTTCTGAAGTTATGCATTCAGTGACAAAACTGGATCTAGTATACGCTCTTTCCAACAGTTAATATGATCTGATATAGCTATGAACTAGCTTCTATTTTAAGTCTTTTTTTCCTCTTATTACCTTGTACACAGAATGAATGTATTCAACAAAGCTTTCTTATACCACAATCCCTATGAAATCTAACACATGATATAGCTTAGAGAAAGTACCCTAAAATTAGTTGACAACTAACGAAACTCAAGATCTAGTGTTAATTTCTTCTTCTCTCATCATTGATAAGAAATGCTATATCCTATCAAATCAATTTCCCAGAGCAGCTTACTAACCTTTTTGTCTTCTGTGACGCACATGAATCATGTTCACATGCTTCGTTCGTAACCCTGTGAGTATGCCCAGGATTTTGTCCATTGCCTACCTGGTATCTAAACACTTCTTACTCTTCCATCAAAAAGCTTATTAGAAATATAAGTAAGAGTAGTCAAATAGGGAACTTGAAACTTTTAATTTACAAAAAATAACTATCCACAAGTTTTAATAAAATAAATTTAATGTTAATCAGTAACAAATTACTTGAGATGCACCTTGCTAGTTTGTCAGGGAACAGCTGTTAAGAATTCCCCCAGCCCAGGTCTTTGCCCATTGTACATTGGGATGTGTCCTACATAGGAAAGAGTGGATGTAATTGTCTTTGACTTGATCCTCGGAAGGTAGGAGGATATACTCTGTATATCTCTTAATTCATATCATAAATTACCACAAGGAATTGGTTAATTTACCTAAACCCTTCTGGAGGCTCACCGTAACAAATTGTTCTAGCCCAGTATTTGATACAGTGTATACTCAACCTTGCATATCTGGTTATACTTTAAGCTTTAGATGCCTTCTAATGAATTTATCAGTGAAATGGTAAAACTCAAAACATTCCCAAAGCCAGTGTTTAAATGCTGTCTGGACGTGACTAAGAAAATTTATTATGTGAAAAACCAGTCCTTTAAAAATAAGTTTCAGAGGATTTTTTGCTGTTAAAAAGCATTCAGGCCCTAACCGGTTTGGCTCAGTGGATAGAGCATCAGCCTGAGGACTGAAAGGTCCCAGGTTCGATTCCGGTCAAGGGCATGTACCTTGGTTGCGGCACATCCCCAGTAGGAGGTGTGCAGGAGGCAGCTGATCGATGTTTCTCTCTCATCGATGTTTCTAACTCTCTATCCCTCTCCCTTCCTTTCTGTAAAAAAAAAAAAAAAGCATTCAGAACAGGAACAAGCCCTGGTTGGTGTAGTTCCGTTAGAGCGTCATCCCATGCACCTAAAGGTTTCGGGTCGATTCCCTGTCAGGGCACATGCCTAGGTTGTGGGTTCAGTCCCTGGTTGGGCACATACGGGAGGCAACCAATCGATGTTTCTCTCTCTCTCTCTAAACCAATTAAAAAAATTTTTTTTAAAGAAATAAAATGAGTAGGGACAAGATTCCTTTAAACACAGAACTGGGATGAATAGCAGGGAACTGGTTCAGTTGACCCTTGAATAATGTGGGGGTAAGGGGCCCCAGTCTCCACATAGTTGAATATCCACGAACAACTTTGGACTCCCTGAAAACTTAGCTGGAGTTGTCCCTTGGTGTCCCTGGAAGACTGGTTCCCACTGACATCAAAATATGCAGATGCTCAAATCCCTTAGATAAAATGGCATAGAACAATGCATATGCTTACTTGGTCCTCTGCATCCACGATTCCCAACTGCAGATCAGAAATACTCTTTTCAATCTGTGGATATGAAACCTGGGGATACAAAGGGCCGACTGTATACTTAACTGAAAAAATCCATGTATAAGTGGACCTACTGCATATGTTGAATACTCCCATAACAAGGACATACACATTCTGATTTAACGTTACAACTCTTAGGAAATAGATGTGCCTGGCTGGTAACTCTGTGGTTGAGCATCAACCCATGAACCAGGAGGTCACAGGTTTGATTCCCGGTCAGGGCACATGCCTGGGTTTCAGGCTCAGTCCCCAGTTGGGGGCGGGGGAGGTACAAGAGGCAGCTGATCAATGATATTCTCTCATCATTGATGTTTCTATCCCTCTCTCCCTCTCCCTTCTCTGAAGTTCATAAAAATATATATATTTTAAAAAGATGCTACACCCATTTTACAGACGAAGAAGCTAAGTTCAAAGAGGTTGAGCTTGCTAGTCAGCAGGCAACCAAGACTTCAACCCTAGTGATCATCTTACCCCTAGGCCAGTGGTCTTTCTGTTAAACCTCACTCTCTGTAATGGACTCTCATAGTCCCCAGTGGCTGTGAAAAGTTGTACTTCTTTTATTTAAAAACTACCTCCAAGTTTGAATATGTGCCCTCTGATTGTAGTAATCTATAGTGAAAAAACACTATAGCCTCTTCAGCCATTTTCCCAAACTGATTACTCTGTGTAAGAAGCCCATTCTACCCCCTTGGTCATTTTAGGTGCTAAATGTTTGTCTCCCCTACCTTTAACTTTTATGGGAGGATCACCATTTAGCATATATTTCAAGTATGGGTATACAAAGGTTTTTACAGATAAATAAG